AGTCAGCACTGTAAACAGTGCGCAACTATATGTTTAATTTTAATTACGTTTGTTAATAAAAAGTGCCAAACTTTTCGATTAGAATTTGCGTTATCTTCAGTGATACAAAAATAAAGTAAGGATATATCCCTCAGTCCAATCGGTGAACTCAACCATAAAAAATAATGATATTCACATCGATTAACTAAATGAATAAAATTATTAATTACTAAAAAAAAAAACCTAGTCGGTGTGAGATGACATATTCAAGTTGTTCGTATGAAATGAAGAAAAAGAAAGAATAGTTATTAGATAGACACAGGTCACAATAAGAAGAAAATATGTAAGAGAATAGTATAAATCTCATTACAGTAATAGATTACTGAGAATGAGAGTCTGTCGCATCTCCTCAGTTCAAGGCAATAACTAAGAGTAATGATTAAGATTTTTAAGATTGAGAGAGACAAAAGACAAAAGAAACAAAAACCGTAGCAAAAACAAGTTTATTATTTATTGAGGACGAAAACATATGCATGATATAAACATTCAGTAGTGAATTAAGTAGCGAACGCTCAGAGTATGAATTTATTGTGAAGCTATTATCTACGAAAGTGATTAATTTCCGAAATGCTTTTCATTAAAAAGACATTAAAAGACACCGTTTACAACGCTGATTCTCGTTAGCCTTATTATTCTCTATTATTATCATATCGAGAATCTTTTTTCTGTTAATTTTTCCAAACAAACACATTTAGTTATGTTGATTTAATTGTAACCTTACCCTTTTACGCATATCTGTATCGTAAAATTTTAAATGCATTTGTCTCAAAAAACTATATTTTCCTCAGTCTTCTATCATGATTTTTCAAAAATAATGATAGATATCAGAATGCCTCTTTTTTTAAAACTTTTCATTATCTCTACTCATTTTCTCCACAAAAGACTTTAAACTTTGCACCTAAATAATCAAATTATGATAAAAACCTTTCTTTACAAACTTGTATTCTTTAATAAACTTGCAATGTTTAACGTTGAATTTTTTTTAATATATATAGAAATTATTGTTCAAAAGTTGTCTCATATTTATCGAATATCTTACAACAAACGATTTAACACACATCCATTTTCTTGTGCGTAAAGATTGCACGTTTTCTCTTGTGCAATATGCATAATACGTCTATTAATATATATTTCTTTCATTGAAAACAATTAACTAATGTAATTCCTTTTCTACTCTAAAAAAGTTTATTGAATATTCATTCTTATGAATACATTATCTACAGGAAAGATACGATTAAATCTTATAGACCTTATTTAGAAAGTATTTTAATTATGTGTACATTTTGTATTCTAATTATTCTAATTATTCTTATTTTCTTGTATTCTTGTATTCTTGTATTCTAATTATTGTATTCTAATCTACATAATTAGTAATTTTTTTATTCCACCATTTTTATCGATATAATTTATTTATATATTTATGAAAAAAGTACATATTAATCATATGAGAAAAATGACTTCGATCAAATTGGTTGAAACTATGATATGTTATATAACTATGATATGTTATATAACTATGATATGTTATAGATTATGAGATGCTAAAAAAAAATTTCCTTAGGCAAAGTCATCAAAAGCTAACAGATTTACTAACTAATTATTACGATAATTAACTACGAAAACTAACTAACGGAATACGCATTCAATAATTCTTCTCTATTAATTGTATTAATAGTTTAAGTAAAAAAATGATTGATATTGCAATGAACAAAAAATATAAATCTATTTGTAATTAAAATGATACTCGGATAACACAAAGTTCAAAATTGAGCAACATCTTAAAGACGTTTTATATCCCGATTTCGAACTTTATACTGTTCTCGGTGTAAACAGCTAGATTAACGTTATCTTATTAAGATATTGTAATCAAGATAATAAGAAAAAAAAAATGAAAATATGATCATTCGCGCAATACTTAGATAAATAATCTTTTAGCAATAATTTTTATTCAAATTGATATGATTTACAATTTATTTCGATACAAAATATTTAACTTGTGTTTTTTAATTGATTATATTCTGCTATTATCGATAAATATCTTAATAAATATATTATCAATTTTTCAGTTACTGGGCACATTTAATTATTGAGATATTTATCTTATAATAATTTATCTTGTTTCTTTTCTTCAATGCCAATAGAAGGTCACTCTACTCAGTATTCATCTGAGTTCAGACATATAGAAAGCGACGTGTTGAATTTTAATCTAAGTGATCATAAACGGCTGTGTGTAAAAAAATGCCAAGTACACACAGTCCATGTTGTAAAAAAAGATTTTATGAAAGATTTGATATCAAAAATTGGCACCAATTTATATCATTAATAAAATCTAGTATAGTTATTATACTTATTTACAATAAAAATAACAAGGCCTACATTTGGCAGAATTTGTTTATAAAGTAGTTTTTTTTTAGCTTCTTTCTTCAAACAATAGAAACATCGACGACAGAAATGCTAACAATTTATTAATAATAAATATGTACTATTTTAATATATAATTTAAACTATCAATTATCAATTATGCCCAATTAGAATCTAATCGGTTGAACACAGAAATTATTTATAAAATAGATTTTTTTTTTAATCACATAAATTTTGAACAGAAAAATATTGTAATAATAATTTAATAATAGCTATATTCTATTTTAATATTATATATATTTGTTACGTTTAGATGAATTAAAAGTGTATTTTATCATGTAACATTGTATAATTTCTCTCTGTTTTATAAGACTTAGAATATGAAAACTTATCTATATTAATCTTTACGTCTCAAAAAATATCTGTTAAAGATTTATCAAAAAGCGTACGCTGCGAGCAGCGTACTGATAAGAAAAAGTGCTGTATCAAAAATAACAAAGTCATACTGAATTATCTAACAATATGATGATAATGTAAATGTTTCTTACTTAAAAATTTACACATTTGAACTTTATGTTGCGATTATTATTTTTATTTCGTATGATATGAAGAGAAATCGAAGAGAAAAACATTTTTATAATATAATTTAAATTTACTTGCCGATTGAGTCTAATTAGAATTCAATCGATATAGCTGTTGTTGAGATACGAAATTATAAGCTTCGTTTAGTTCTAACTGGCTCGTGTATAGCCACGGACGTTTCGTCAACGAGCTTCGCTGCACGTGAAGACATACTTGGGGGCACACTATTCATGTCTCGTGATAACTAACTTTATTATGAATAATATTTTACTACATGTTGCCTTCGTTTAATTGCACTACGTACTTTTATATTTAACATCATGTAATTTGCAATAATATTTAATTAAATTTTATTAAGAAAAAATATTTAATTTTTTCAAAATTCATTTTTAATACGAAATAAAACAAAAAAACCTCAACGAGTAAAATAAAATAAAAATGATTAAAATCTACAAGATTATTTATTAGATTGAATTTGTCACCTTTTCTGCTATATTATTAGAAAAACCAAATGTCAAATGAGTGTGTGTAAACGCACATGCGTATACGTACGTATGTGTGTATGTACACATAGTTTTATTCAAATTTTATCGCGAAGTTTAAATATAATACATAGAACACAAAACAACATATATTTATACATTTATATAATACATATATTATACAGTTTATATATGTTTCTTTTTTTCCATTTTTTAAAATAAGAATGTTGTTTACACATACACATTTAAGTACATTATATTATATTACATTATATTACATTTTATTTTTTTCTATCTATCTTTTGCACTTTTTATATATTTTAAACTTTAACCTCATAAAAGAAAACCTCACTTCTAGAGAGTATCTTGATAAATACGAAAAATTATTTAAAAGTACATTATTTTAAAAATATATAGTATTTATATTTCAAAATTTTTTTCTTGAAAGAAAAAGAAATAGAAAGAAAGAGAAGAGAAAGAGGAATAAAGGAGAGCGGGAAAAACAAAATGGAAGGAAGGGAAGGAGGAAAAGAGGGAGAGAAAGAACATAACATAAATTATAAAAATTTGTCTTTATATAATTTATCTTTTTCTTTTTTATTATATTAGAAATTTTAACATTAAATTTTTAAAATATTTAATATTTAATATTTTATAAATAATTATTTATATATTTTTGAAATATCAGATATATAAGATTTTAATTATTATAAAGAGAAATCGATTGTAGTGAAAGTAAGAGATGATTACATTAGTATTTTTTTTTTATCTATCACATAAAGAGAACAGTTACTGTCTTGCTGAGAAGCCAAATAGCAAAAAAGAAGTTGTAAAAGATAAAACTTTCTATTCGTAGATTTTTATACACACATTATACATATCTTCCATCATATTTAAATGTTATGTACAATTACACATATATAATTTCATTATTTATTTTACGCAAGTTAATTTACTCATATGTATCATTGTTTAATAAGCTTTTTAAGAAGTTACATAAAGTTATATAAAGTTATTCTTTAATTTTACATAAATTATAATTATAATTTTGAATTTTATTTATAACTTAGGTAGAATATTTTCTCTGTATTTTCAATTATACAGTTATTTGTGATGTGTGTTTAGATACACACACATTATTTGTGTAATATACACATACAACTAAAGAATTTTTTATATATATAAAAATGTTGCATCACTATTTTATCTAAAGTAGAACATATTGCTTGTAATAACATATAATGTTATAAGAGAACTCAAAATTAAGTTAAATAACAATGATTTTGTAGTATCTATTAAAATTTCTCTTTTTCTTGACTTTCTTTTATATTAATAATCTGTAATCCACTTGTATTATTTCACTTGTGTATCAGTGCTCGACTCGCTTGCTATTTTATAATATAAATTCTTACAAAAAAGTCTCGTTATAAATATAAGCCAGAACGCGCATGCACATAATTCGGTCGGTGTTAAAAATGTATCAAGCAAAGTTTAAAATGCAGTATTTTTGCGAGTAGTTTTTGTTTCTTGTTTCAGGTATTGAAGAAACTGTCAAACTTGTCCGAGCAGCCGGAGGTACATGTTACGGTTATGTTTGCGACTTGTGCGATCGGACAGACATATATAAAAAGGCCAAAATTATTCAGGAAGAGATTGGCAAGGTAATTGTATAGTTGATATTATTTTATAAAAGATGATAAAACTGATAATTGAAAAACTGAAAAGTTGATAGTCTATCGAGTTCAGATGTTACAAGCCTATCGTGACACTTGATATTTTCATGATGCCAAACAAAGATTTGAACAAATTAAACAAAATTAAATTAATTAAACAAAGTGTAAATTAAAATTAAAATTAAATTAATCAAAATTACAACTCAAAATCACAAGAAAAAAATCATTTGAAAGTTTTTCTCTTGTCTAAAACGATTTATTTATTGCTATTTCACTACTGTAAAGTACTGTATTTTAACAGTTTCGATATTTCAAACGCGAGAAGATATGCGAGAAGATATATTTGTATATCAACTTTGGCAGCCTGAATGACTCGCTGTGGTACGAAAGACTCATCCTTTTCAGAAAAGAATAGATCGTGACTCGCGCTATTTCGTCGCGCGGACGATATTATGAAAGTCTATGTTACGCCATAACATTGCGATATGTTGAGCCTGATATGCGGGACTGACCTGTTTTAAGAAACACTGCGAGGAAACATGGCCTTTTCCTCGTTTTATCTATATATATATATATATATATATACATATACATGTCCGTTCTCTGACATACTTTGTACATATAAACGCAGTGTTATTTTATATTATACATCTTGTATTACAATCGTCACTCGAGTACAATTTTCACTCGAGTAGCAGAGCATCTATCTCTTTTTTGCCCTTTTTTTTTTTTTTCGTTTATTCTCGAAATGACGATTTCCGATACAAATCCGTACAAAAATCGCAATCCCAAAAATCACCGTCATCATCATTATGATGTCACCTTGCTACTTGGGATATTTGGAAAATCACTTTTGTATATCTTATTTATAGGTGACGATTCTTATTAATAATGCGGGCATCGTTACGGGGATGAAATTTCTAGATACTCCGGATAAACTTATCATCAGAACGATGGACGTTAATGTGATGAGCCACTTTTGGGTAAGTAGCCACTTTTTTATTACTCAAAGTTATTCCGCTACTCAAATAATTTATCTCATGTTATCGTCGACAAATTGAAAAATTGAACGCTATATGTCTCGCATGAATCTTGTTTCTCGCGAAATTCTTTGTTGGTATTGTGTATCTCGGTGAGATATAATAGTCTACATGAGAATCGCGACAACACGTGACACGAGAATCTTTTTATGGTAAGGAAAGGAAAGCTCGGAATAATCACATTGCTGAAAAGAGATGTCGTCCGTCATTTCCAAGTCCCTCGCTCGTAGATTTTAGGCAATAAAATATCGTTTTTAAAATGTCGATGTGTCTCTTCGAGAGATGTGCCGGTCCACCGATAGTCGGTGGATGTGCCCATAGCGCCTGATATTTTGAGCGTGATCCGGTTTGCGGGTCTGCGAATTCAAGTATCGGCGATATTCAAGCTGCCGCCGTCTCATCCAGTCGTTGCGAGAGAATCGTCGGTGAGAGGTATTCCATTTCTTTCCTCCCGTTTGTTGCCTTTAGTCAGGTGCAAGAACCGGTCAGATAGGTCGTCAGGCAGGAATAGTATATCGTGCCGTAGTATGCTGCAGGCACACGTGCCGTACGCGCTATATAGTCTCTCGCTGTGTTGCGACACGAGCCGCGAGCCAGCGGCACGACGCTTGCCAAACGCAAATGATTTCTTAATTTAAATTCTTACTTAATTGACGATTCACTCGCAAACTTTCGTTCCTTTGGAATCTTTCTCTCGGTATATAAGATCACTTTACATATATCCTTGCACATATCCTGCCTGGAAAAGTCATTATTGACTTTTGCTTCAACAAGATGAGATAGTTCTGTCATCATTACAATTCCTAATATCTCCTACAATGTAGAGAGTGTTGCCTCTGATATCTCTCTCTCTCTACCTTTTATTTACACTTTTATATTTCTTATCGCATCACTCTTGTCATATGAGCAAAATAATAAAATAATGTCAAGTATAGAAGAAATTAAGAAATTAAAAGTTATAAAACAATATTATCGTAGAAATTATGAGGACACGAGTAATAATGAGAGAAGAAAAAAATGATCAAATGATAATGATTAATCCTACAACGGATATAAATATGTGCATACCTTTTTACAATATTTAAAATAATTTAAACTAGTAATAATAATGTAACAAAAAGTTGCATGAAAACAAAGAGAGGACATTTATCAAAAAGCTTGAAACAAGAATTATTCATATGTAATAAGAAATATTTACGTATCGATTATATTGTATACGACGATTTTCGATAAGGTAATTCGCGCAAAGTTATATGAAGGTTAAAATAGAAATTGCCGTTGCTCGAAGCGATGTTCTTGACATCTTTGCCAAGTATATGCTATCAAGATGATGATGATGATGATGATGATGATGATGATG